GAAATACATACAACAATCGTTGGAAATATTTGAAGGTTTTCTTAGTGTTCTTCGGTGGAAATATGAAGATTTGAAGATGGTATGAATGTTCTTGAGGAACTTATGAAGATTTGATGATAATCTGGACCAATCATTATGAAGATACGGTGATTTCGTATGAGTTTTGAGAGCAAAATGGGAAGGATCATGGAAATGAGAAATGAAGAGTTTTTGCGGATATATATATATATATATATATATATATATATATATATATATATATATATATATATATATATATATATATATATATATATATAGGAGGTGGTTTCGGCCTTAATGGATCTTAGCCATGAATTTTGGTTCTTGAAATGAAGAGATTTTGGGGTTAAGTGGTGATTTCAGTCATAGTGGTAAACATGTTAGAGATTTCGGTCATACCACAACCGAAAACCCCATCGACGACGATTCCTAAAACCGAAATGTAGCACCTTGTTCCTGGTATGTATTCTTGATTATTAACTCTCCTTATGTATTGCATTTTAACCTTGGACTCGGCGAGTTGAAGGACTAACTCGCCGAGTAGAAGCAGGTCTGGACTCGGGTTCAACTTTGGCTACTCGGCGAGTAGGGTCGTGGGACTCGGCGAGTAGACCCTGTATGGACTAAAACCCTAACCCGGGTGTTTGCACCCTATTTAAACGATCTAACCCAGCCTCCACAACCCCTAGCACTCCCAGAGATCTGTAGAACGAAACCCTAGCCCCTTTGTGTCCTTGTGGGTGATTTTTAGCATTTTGAAGGTGGTTTGGAGCTTGGGAGAAGAAGGAGAAGGTTGAAGAGTGCAAGAAGGGAAGAAGATCCGGAATATACTCTGTGAAGGGCTTCTATTCAGGTAGAAAAGTTCCTACCTTGACCTTTAGTTCATTGAACCCCCCTTTCTTGTCCCTAAAAAGAGGTTTTAAGCCCTAAGAAGCTAAATCTCTATGTGTTTATGGTTAATGTTCTGCAAGGACTTCGGATTTGGACTTTTAAGACATCCTAGTAGCATAAAGTCTCTGTGGTTGAGGTGATTGAGGTCCCTATTGAGTGTAGGACCTCTTAAAGAGCTTGGAATTGCATGTTTGAGCTCATTGGGCCATGCATGCACGTAAAGTTTGCAACTTTACGTGGTAAACATGCCCTAGGACCATAGATCTGTGGTTTTGAAGCATTGCATGTCTCAGATCTGGCCTATTTGGGAAATGGGTCGAGGAACTCGGCGAGTCCCAAGGTGGTACTCGGCGAGTTCTATGAAGATGGTCTTAGACTCGGCAAGTTAGATGAACAACTTGGCGAGTCCTATGAAGATTGCCTGGAGCTCGCCGAGTTGTTCTTCAAACTCGGCGAGTTGGTACTCAAGTAGGCCCTATAGTCCCGAATGGTGAGTCAAGGGTAACTCAGTGAGTGGGGGGAGGGACTTGGCGAGTGGGACTGGATTAGTAAGGGAAGGACTCGGCGAGTTGCTCGTGGACTCGGCGAGTCCAGTCAACTGGAAGTTGACTTTGACTTGGATTTCGACCTGGTCGAGGGTAAAAGGGTCATTTAACCCTAAGAACATCTAGCAGTGTTTGACTGATCGTTTTGTGGGATTTATAGCCGGAGGACGTTCGGAGCAGCAGCAGCAGTAGACAGTCAGTTTCCGATTAGTTCAGCAGCTACTTTGAGGTGAGTTACCTTCCAGTAGCGGTGGGTCTAAGGCCACAATGCCGGCCCACCAGTAGGAGATGTATGATAGATGATTGTCTTTGTGATATCATCTAGGTTTGCTACTACATGATATGTTATATGCTAGCATGTTATGTTATATGTGATAGTAGTAGAGTTCGGTTGTTAGGACCGAAGGGTAGTCGGACACCCCAGATACGTCTGACAGTATGTGATTATATGTTTGCATGCTGGCTTGTTATGTTATGTGCGATAGAGGTAGTAGGAGGGGACCAATCCTCGAGTTCGGTTGCTAGGACCGAAGGGTAGTTCAGGCACCCGAGATATGTCTGATAATATGTTATGTTATGATATATGTGATAGTAGCAGTAGGGGGTGAAATAGTCCCCGAGGTTCGGTCGTCAGGACCGAAGGGTAGTCAGCACCCCAGAATGGCTTGACATGGGTAGTAAGCACCCCATAATGGCTTTTCACGGGTAGGTCGGCGCCCCAGAATGGTCGTACCGGGTAGGTCGGGCACCCCAGAAATGCCTGGCAATATGTATGATATGTGATTATGTGGTATGCGGTATGATGGGGGAACTCACTAAGCTTCGTGCTTACAGTTTTCAGTTTTGGTTTCAGGTACCTCTTCTTCGAAGGGGAAGGAGCTCGCGCGGTAGCAGCACATCACACACACGCTTGTATTCCGCACTATGAGATCTTCCTGGGGCTTTGTACTTTGACTTTATTATGTTTTTATAACTGGTTTCCAGACACGTACATCTTTTATGAAATGTTATGATTGGTGAATGTTTTATTTTAATGTTTTGCTAAGTATGTGTATTTAAAAATGAAATTTTTGGCTCGTATTTTTGGGGTGTTACACGAAAACTCAATGTTCTAGAATATTAAAACTGATAAATCTTAAGTAGTGCATTTACTTATGGTTTTAGGCTTAACCTTTTGACTTATCTTGATTTATATTAACTTAAATCAACATGGGTTTCAATCTGCACCTAGTTATTAATTTATAAACATTCCCTCATGACTATCGATGATACAGTGCAACAAAGTTGCAATGTGGTTTCACTTATACTCGGTTAAGATTTAGATCTTTCTTGTTCTAAAATTTTCCAGTTTTCACATGAAGCCAAAGATCGAAGGATGAAAAGATACCTGGAAAAGACACAACAGCTAGCACATTCGTTCAATAGCTTCAAAATCCAACAAATACCCAGGGGGACAATAAAAGAGCTGATGCTCTTATCAAGTTGGCCTCAACGTCCTTTGACCAACTAACTAATGCGGTACCGGTATAGATTCTCATAGAAAGGAGAATAGATAACAAGCAAGTCGATGTTGTGGCAGAATCACCGGAATGGACAAGGGAATACCTAGATTATATGTATCATGGCATCCTCCTGGACGACCCGGAAGAGGCCAAGCAGATAAAAATCAAAGCCCCCCAGTTTGTTGTAAGAGGCATGCAACTGTACAAGAGAGGGTACCTATCACCATAGCTCAGATGCATCTCGCACGAATAAGGTCATGTCCTCCTAGAGGAAAACCACTCAGGTGAAGTTTGATCACACGAGGGGGCACGGGCACTCATGGGCAAAATACTGCGTTTGGGAGTATATTGGCCCAACGTGTACAAAGACGTGAAGAGAGTCACAAAGAAATGCCAAGAATGCTAGGCATTCTCCCCGTTCAAGAACCATCCAATGACAACCATGACTAGCATTAACAACCTATGCCCTTTCCACCAACAGGGCATCAATATCGTAGGACCATTCCCAACATCTCCAGGGGGAGTGAAGTTCCTACTAGTCGCACTTGACTATGTCACCAAGTGGATTGAAGCGGAGCCCCTAGCCATGGTCATGGGTAGGAAGATGACTAGATTCATGTGGAAGAACATCCTAGCACGGTTCAGCAACCCCAAGGTCCTAATAAGCGACAATGACACCAAGTTTGAGGGAAGTCCCTTCAAAAAATGGTGCGAAGAGATATAGATACATCGTTGCTTTACCTCAATCGCACACCCCCAGACGAACGGCCAGACCGAAGTATCGAACAGGACCATCGTAAACAGGCTTAAGAAACGCCTGATGAAAACAAAAGGGGCCTGGATGGAAGAACTACCAACAATACTATGGTCATACCGTACTACTGCGAGGTCAGTGATAGGAGAGACGCCTTTCATCCTGACATACGGCGTGGAAGCAGTGCTCCTACTCAAGATTCTGAGTGAATCATTGCAGGTAACCGGTTTCGACGTAGGCTCGAATGAGGCATAGAGGCAACAATACATGGACATGCTAGACGAGAAACACCAAGCTGCTCGACTGCGACAAGTGGCCTACAAATCTTGTACATAAAACTTTTACAATAAATGGGTACGGGTAAAGAACTTCAAAATAGGAGAATGAGTGTTGAGGAAGAACGAGGCTAGCCACTCGGAGCTATTGGGCAAGCTAAGCATGACCTGGGAAGGACCATACAAAGTAGTGGGGACGCACTGTGATGTAGCTTATACACGGGAAGCACAAGATGGGAGACCGATACCTCAAACATGGAATGCGCACAGCCTACACCACTTTTATTTGTAAAACAACTGGCAAATGGTGTAACCTAAGGAGGGGTCAGTGACTCCCGAACCTCCAACCTAAGAACTACACCTCAGTCAAATGTTGACATGAAAATCTGTAAGTTGTCTCCAAAACTTTTCATTTAACAAAGTTTTGAAAGATAGTATACTAACCTTACTCGTTGATGTACACACATACATATATAAACATAAAATACAAACATAAAGAACAAAGACATAGAAAAAGAGGCATGCGAAGATTCCAAATGACAACACGGGCTAATCACCCACATCGTTTGAGCAAAACAATCTGCCAACATGCACCCACGAATCTCAATAGGAGATGACTCCCCCGTGAACATGCCAGTTCAAACAAGCAATAAAGCCTCCTGAATCTCGAACCATCCATACTCAAAGGGTTCGAATGATCATAACCTTCCACTGAAAATTTAACACGCATGACTCTAGGGAGCCTCGAGGTGACGATCTCAGCTCACCTTAAGCGATCACAAAATAAAGGCAATTGGTCACCCAGCTAAGAACCAATAGCAAGGCCTATAAAATACTATTTGGGGGGGGGGGACACCTTCCAAATAAAAAGAGAAGCTCGCAAAAAAGGGCAAAAACTAAGAATGAAGAACCTGCAAAGTCGAATACAATAAGGTTTTAGAAAGTACATACAAAAAAAGAAAAACAAACAACAAAAATACAAAAATACAAAAAAAGAATCAACCCTGACGAGTTAAGTCGAGGCAGTGCCCTCAACACCATTGTCTGAAACGAGTTCCTCCTCTTTAGAGCATAGTTGGCAAAGATCAGCAAGACCGAGCTCGCCCAAACGGAGATAGGACATGAACTCCGTCTCGACAAAAGCCCTGATGGCAGCATGCATTGCATCGACAGACCGTGCCACAACATCTGGATCAGACGATCCCGGACTGCTGCCAGACGACCACACTCGTAGTATCTACTTCCCCCTCTCTATATTAGTAGCCACATACGCAACCTTCACACGATGAATACCAATCACGAACTCGTTGCTCTCGACAACACGGTACACCATAGGAAGCACCCCTTTTTGAAGAACCCAAGCTATATCGGCCTCCAAGGCTTTCCTCCTCGATACCTTAGTAGCGAACTGATCATATTGCAGTGCTAAATGCTCCACCAATGCTTCTTTCTACGAGACTAAATTTTGGACCTGCTGGGATAAGAGACTAACCTCCCCATCCGGAGTCGCCACCTGAGCTTCTATAAAAGTTTTCTCCCCAGACAGCATGGGGTAGAGTTCATCGAACTTACGTTGCTCCTCTTCGAGAAACCAAACCTTCTCCGTAATCTCATCGATCTCTGATTTAACGGAAACCAACTCGCTAAACTGGCCCCTATGTAACAAAGACGACTAGCAGCCGCCACTAAGTAAGGATCAACCTGAGTAGCGGCATACTAAAGATTGTTCGCTATGTGAGAAGAAGAAAGAGCATCGAGGGCCTCCATGGTAGCCGAAGGGAACGCATGTCGACATCACTCACGGGCGGGACCCTGTTTCGATAAAAGGGAATCGGGCATAAGGTTCCACCCCGGGAGATACACACCAGGAGCACCTAAAGACGAAGGACCCGCTGCCGATGGGGCATCACCTAAAACCGAGGGCGGGACGGAGCGAGTGCCCACAAGACCTGGTTCTCCCAACCGGCACAAACCCATCGTCTCCATTGCTTGTGGGTCATCACTATCAGTAATCTCAATAAAAATGGGTGACTTAGCGAGCAGAGGATCGATGTCGCTTTTCCAACACAAAAGCTGGCCAATAGTACTACCATCGACATCCTCCTTAAAAGAGGCATCCACAGCAGCAGACCGACGTTGGGAGACGACTTGGTCGTTAGCCACACCCTATCCCCTAACCGGAGAAGTATCCCTAACCCCCACCTCGATAGGAGGGACATTGACCTTAAAAACAAGGCCAACTTTGGCTAGAGCCGATTACATCTCCACTTAAGGAACTTCGTGGTACTGAAGATCCCCTTCAAAATCTCCCCGCAAAACTTGTTCAAGAGACAAAAGCCTCTCGCTACCTGCAACAACAACAACGCAAACCCCCCTTCTTTACAGCAAAAGAAACTCGTTATCAAATAACGAAAGGTAAAAAAGCAGGGGGAAGGAAGGTAACACTTACCATCATTTTCCATAAAAAACTGAGGTATCTTTCCACATGACCACCAAGCAGCGCACATTCCGGCTGTTGCCAATACACAATCCGACCAATTTTTCGCTGTTAAAACAAATCCCTCTTAACACGTGATCCACCGAAAAACCGACCCCCGATAGTTGGGGCCCCCGATATGAAGCCATGGGCACACAAGGATAGCCAGCACCGATCAAATCATTGTTAACCCGTAACCACCAATCCTGCCAATTCTTATGAGGCACTTTTTGGTTAACTATAAAAGAATGCATGTTACAACGCTAAGAAAAGGTGTGAACGCCTGAATGGGTAGATAAATTGAAGAAAGACTAGAATGCTTGAAGATGGGGAAGCACACCCAATGCTCAACAACCTAACTAAAACCTAACTATCTTGTTCACAACGTTTGGGGTCAAGTCGTGAACAACGAAACCATATTCTCACATAACCTCGACGAAGAAGTCAGAAATAGGAAGAAAAAATCCAACCTCGAAGATCACTACCATAATACCGACCTTCCTCGTTGGCAGTTGATAAATCGTAGAACCTTTCGATGGGAATTGAGCTCCATGCTCAGGCATGATCCCAAACCGAAAATTGAAGATACTCGAACTCCTCGAGTGTAGGAGCGATTCCAAATCTAACAAAGGCCATCAAAAATCAGAGAGGAAAATGTGGGAGAAAGGAGAATCAATAAAAGAGGATGGGACGGCAGATTATAGAGAAAGGAAGCGCATAACCATTCATAAAGATATAGGGCCCCTATATAAAAAAGAAAAGAAGAAATGAAAAAAAAAGACGTTATCTCGCCAGAGCAACTCTATTACATCAGAAACACATCATGAATAGTTCCCACTAAACGCGTACCCAGATCTAAGCTAGAACTACTCAGCTACCTTGAGAAAACGCTGATGTCTACTGGCCTAGGGGACTTGTTAATGTATCCCACCAGGAATACGGCAAATATAGTAGAACTGTTAGTCTGATAGACGATTTGGGTAAAGAGCAACGTATGTCTAACGTCGTGTCCTCGCTCTTGCGATCCCATATTATTCCTTGGTGCCCAAGCGCCAAAGCCAGTGTCAAGAAAAATAGTACCAATCGCCTCTCAGAGAGACATGTGTAGCACTCAGAATGTTGCTCCTGGTAAACCTGCAACAATGGCAAACGACCACTCACGGATCACGATCTACCAATTAAAGGTCGTCTGTCCCTACCAAACCTAAAAAAGAAAAAGATAGTATCGGGGATCTGTCCCCCCAGCCACATGTATAAAAAGGTCACTTCTTCTCCAAGAGAAGGGATCGGGAGAAAAATCCCTTATACACTTACCTAACACTTTTCACCTTCTTTCTAAACAAACGAACTGACTTGATCAACAGAGCTTCGTTCTAGGATCACCTCTGGGATGACGACTGCGATCTTGTTTCCTTTGATGTGAATCTCAAGCCCTTCATTTCCATTCCTCAAAGAGAAGGAGCTAAGCCATAGACATATCACAACATAGATGTTTAGGGCTAAGATCTGTGGTTTAGGCTTTTAGTCTTAAGCATTAAGTGATTAATGGGGATATTGGTTTATTGGGTGAGTACGCTGGGCGTACAAGTCTGTACGCATGACGTACAAGCCATTTATCTAGTACGCTTAGCGTACAACTGAGTATGCCCCACGTACTCAGTCTATTCGGCATATCATTTTAGACTTCAAGTTTGGACCATTTTATTGGGCTTGGAAGCTTTGGTTCCTGTTGGGCCACATGAGTATAATTATTTTGGACTAGGAAAATTGTTTGTATTTAGGGTAAGGCCCATGTAGGGATTTGGGCCTAATTTGGAAAATTGGGCCATAAATGGACTTTGGATGATTACTTGGTTTTGGGCCTTGTAAATAGGGAGTTTGGGCCTTAGTCTTGGACCAAACTAAGCAAGGGTTAAAATGATCATTATACCCTAATGATGGATTGTTAGACATGGTTTCATACCCAAATGTTAATTGGGTTTTGTTTTATATTGATAGCTCGGGGATTCGTCGGACCAACAACCATGGGTTTTTTGTGACATCCCCATTTTCACGCCCAGAAAAGACCGATTTTGTTTATGCTTTAAAAAAGTCAGAGTACCTCTTTTAATAAAAATGTTGTGGAATTTGTTCCCAGTAAAACATGATAAATATTTTATCAAAGCATTTCCGAAGAAAAGTACTTTTATTCATTTTTAAACATTTGGGATGTGATTGTTAATACAAAAACATAAGCATAAACAGAACTTACATTCATTATCACTAGTGATTTATATCTCCTTAATATCTCAGTGTAATGTGACTTCATATCAACACCTGTGATATAAATAAACTGAGCGGGTCAGGTTGGGAAACCTGGTGAGTACATAAGGGTTTCAACCCACAATAAATAAGTTTATTAACTTTATCAAACCAAACAAACCCAATTACCCGTTGCCGTTATCCTCACTTTACGTCCCAAAAACATCTAACACAAGGGACCTAGTCTAAGGACTTTCATCGGGGTGACAACACATGCTTTGGGGATTCCTCAGCAATTCATGTCAAATAAGGTAACCATATGGGGGATGGAGTACTGCTGGTAAATACACAGTTCAAATAAACACCTACAGGTTGCGAGCCTGCTAGCGTTCCACTGGACTGTCTAGAATAGTCTGTGGTCGTCATCTATACTCCGCTAGATGACTGGATCATCAATAACATTTATAACGAGGCCTGTCATTATTTTATTTGGTCACATAGCACCTATTACATCTACCCATGTTTTACCCAACACATTTTATAGATATAAAATACATATACAATTTAAATCATTTAAAACATGTATAAAATCGTTCATCCAACATAGATAGCAAGTATACAGATAATATGCACACACAACATGTAATTTATATAAAATACTTCATATCTGTGTGTAAGATGAAAATAACTATGCACTCACCGGATAAGGTGGTGATTCTGAATTCCGATAGCGCTTCGTTACTTCTTAAAACATTTTCCTTAGACAAAAACCTTGTATCATTACCACTAGGGTTTAGTTTAATATTTACCGACACTAGTTAATAGTCTAGCTATTATTACTATTATATAAGCATTAAACAATACTTATATAACCCATAATAATAGCCCAGGTATTTATTATAAGTTCCTAATAACGTTACTATATTAAAACATAAGCTATACTAAAGATAGGGTAGGTATAGCTAAATTACAGCGGGTTTCTTTGGAAACCGGTCTTTGATGGAGCAACGTTTCTGAGACGAAAGGCTCTTCTTCTCAGGGCCGTCGGGCACTCATGGGCTTCCGCCTCGTGCTAGGGGGTTCCCTAGGCTTTTCGGGGATTTCAGGGCTTAGAGAGAGAGTATAGAGAGATGAATGAAGGGTTAAGGTGTGAAGAATGAAGGAGAGGGGCGTCTCTATTTATAGGAGGCTGAAGAGGCTCCCACATCGTGGCCATTTGACGCCCACGTCCTGGCTAGCTGGGTACAGCCAGGCACAACCTGGTGCTAACACGTGACATCGCACACAGGGTGGAAATCAACCAATTTTCAAAAATTCATCACTTTTGCATACGACCTCCGTTTTCAATGTTCTTTATATCCACGCGTAGCTAAAAATAAGATCTACAACTTTCATTTAGACTTCGTCGGCTAATTCTAGACCGATATTCCATTTAACAGTAGAAGGAGATTAGACTGTTAAATGACCACAAAAAATTCATAACTCATTCATACGGACTCCGTTTTTGTCTGTCTTTTTATCGTTGAGTTCCTATTAATGAGATATTCAACTCTCATTTAAGTCGCATAAGCCAAAAACCGCTCGAACTAAAATTCGAGTTTCGGGTCGTGCACTGCTAAGCTGAAACTTCGAAAAATCATAACTTCCTCATACGAAGTCAGATTTGGGCATTCTTTTTATGGATGCTCTCAAGTTAACATATTATACGACTTTCATGTAGATGACTAAGGCTAAAAGTCACTCTATCATAAAATCACTATTTACGTCTTCCCAGTGTCGTGCCGGTTCCATCGCGAAACTTCGGCGAGTCATAACTTCTTCATTATAACTCAGATATCGACGCTCTTTATATGTACGGAACCCTTGAGACATTCTACAACTTGGTTAAGATTATTTATTCTAAATAATATTTTGTTGAAAAGTCATTTTCGACCCCTATTATCTCTAAATTGACTAGCCTGGATCTACGGGTGTTACAATTACCAACCCCCCCCCCCCTCCTTAGGATGATTACGTCCCGAAATCATGAACAAAATAGGACTCACATGATGACTCCATACGTTATCTCTTCATCCTAAGTCATAACCATAACTTTCATGTTCGAACGAGTATCTAACTCTAAGACTTGCTGACTGCAGGCGGTGCCCGATCTTGGACCCGCTCTCTATCTCACGTTAAACTTCCAATCATGATATTCATTTCACGATCTCGATCTTTATTGGATACTCCTTCCTTAACAAACTTGAGATAAGTTTCTTCCTTCGATTATCATAATAGGCTGATGGGTCAAGTTCTAATAACCTTTCATCGTATGATACATTGCTTGGACTCAGGTCTTTTAGAGTCAAATTCCAGAACAGAATATACCTTCCTTCATGTTCTAACCACATCTTAAAAGGTAGCATTTCTAGCTACAAGAAACTTTTTGCGATACCTTTACTGATCGCTTTTTCATTTCAATCTTCCGTCCTAAGTCAGATGCTACATCGAGCTTGTTTCTCTGAACCACATGTGGCATCCCCATTTTCACGGCCATAAAAGACCGATTTGTTTATGCTTTGTTTTATAAAATCAGAGTAATCCTTTGATTAAAAGATTTGCAGAATTTGTTCCCAAAGCAAAATATGATCAAATTTATAAAAACATTTCTCAAGAGAATGTATTTTCATTAAATAATAAAACCTCGGGATGTCATGTTCTGATACAGACCAAAAGCATAAACAGTACAATACAGACCTTACAACAGTTATTTGTAACTACTGATCTGTAATCCAAAATATCTCGTCAAGT